GTGTTCCTAAACTATGTACACAGATGAGATTGTTGGTCCTTGTGTTCCTAAACTATGTACACAGATGAGATTGTTGGTCCTTGTGTTCCTAAACTATGTACACAGATGAGATTGTTGGTCCTTGTGTTCCTAAACTATGTACACAGATGAGATTGTTGGTGTATGTGTTCCTAAACTATGTACACAGATGAGATTGTTGGTCCTTGTGTTTTTAAACTATCTAAACAGATGAGATTGTTGGTCCTTGTGTTCCTAAACTATGTACATAGATGAGGCTGTTGGTGTGTGTGTTTATAAATTACAGTTCTGTGCAAAAGTGTTAAGACAAGGTCAAAAATTAGGCTACTTTTAAAGAACAATGGAATGTAAATCACGGGTGAAACATCAAAATTTTATTAATCTTCAGATTTAGTACAACAAAAATATAATGAAAGTTCTTGAGTTCAGCAAACAGTTTATATTTTGTGTGTCCCCTTTTGCTTTGATAACTGTAGACAGACTTTCAGACATTGTTGCAACATATTTAATCAAAATATACTTTGAGATTTCACTCCATATGTCTCTAATACACTCCCATAAAGTTTCTTTTGAAGTAACTTTTGATTTGTCAAGTTTTTGATCTATCAAATCTCAGATCTGCTTAATTGGGTTGAGATTGGGGCTCTGTTAGGGCCATTGCATCATTTAAATCACTCCAGTAGCTTCTTTCTTAGCTAATTAATTTTTGTATAGGTTGGATCAGTGTTTGGGGCCATTATTTTCTTGGTAGTAGAATTCTTTATCAATAATACACAAACCACTGGGTATACCATGATGGATCAGTATCTGATGGTACTTGCATTTGGTCCATTATTCCATCTATTTTGCAAATATCTCCCATTGCATTAGCAGGAAAACATCCCCAAGTTATCACACTACCTCCCCCCCATTCTTCATGGTAGGTGCCATGCGTTGAGGTAAGTATTTTTCACCTTTTTCCTGCTGGGCGTACAACCTACACTTTGAACCAAACTTGGACTCATCCATCCATAACACCCTTTTCCAATCATCAACAGTCCAGTTTTGTACTTTTTAGCATATTTCAGTCTCTTGACAATATTTGGAGATCAAAGTAAAAAATTTTTTAACCGCCACATGCCCAAATATTCCATTCTCGTTGAGTCTTCTTGATACTGTAGATTTGGACACTTTTCTGTAATTTGGTACATGGTCGTTTATCTCATGGTTGAGATTAGTGGCAGTCTTCCTTATGGCCCAAAGGCTGTATATACGAAGATACTTAGTATCAGTATCGTTGAGTTATCCTGCCTCTTCTTTTCCATAATTTCAAATTAACCCCACTTTTTCTCATGATATAGGGTGTACTTGACAGTATTTGGGGAGCATTTCAAGTCTGCAGCAATTTGTTGGAGAGTCCAACCAATATCATGTAAAGCTTTTATGTGAACTCTCTGCTCTACTGATAACTTTCTATGCTTTTTGGGCCATGGCATGACAACAAAACTTAATATATAGTGTTATACACTGTTTCATCAAGGTTTATTTGTGGAGTGCTATTAAATTGATTTCTTTTGGCATATACTGGTACCATATGCTAGCTTCTTTCTATATAGTTAAGACACTGCATGGGGTGCCATGACAGTTCTTTCAGGCCCTAAATTTGATCAGTATGTTCATTCAAGCAGAACCCTTATAACATGCCCTTGGTACAAGTATATGGGAATTCTAAATAATGATAAGTATTCTCACACTGGTTCATTCAATTGTCAACAGGGATCAGTGAAGCATTACCATAGTGTTGAAATTTACATTCTGTAATGACATGGAAGAATTAGCCTTATAATATGGAAAGAATGACAAAATGTTCTCTTGTCCTAACACTTTCCAACAGTACTGTATGTACACAGATGAGGCTCTTGGCCTAACACTTTCCAACAGTACTGTATGTACACAGATGAGGCTCTTGGCCTAACACTTTCCCACAGTACTGTATATACACAGATGAGGCTCTTGTCCTAACACTTTCCCACAGTACTGTATATACACAGATGAGGCTCTTGTCCTAACACTTTCCAACAGTAATGTATGTACACAGATGAGGCTGGTGGTCTTTGTGTTCCTAAACTATGTACACAGATGAGGCTCTTGGCCTAACAGTTTTCCACAGTACTGTATGTACACAGATGAGGCTCTTGGCCTAACACTTTCCAACAGTACTGTATGTACACAGATGAGGCTGGTGGTCTTTGTGTTCCTAAACTATGTACACAGATGAGGCTCTTGGCCTAACACTTTCCAACAGTACTGTATGTACACAGATGGTGGTCTTTGTGTTCCTAAACTATGTACACAGATGAGGCTCTTGGCCTAACACTTTCCCACAGTACTGTATGTACACAGATGAGGCTCTTGGCCTAACACTTTCCCACAGTACTGTATGTACACAGATGAGGCTCTAGGCCTAACACTTTCCCACAGTACTGTATGTACACGGATAAGGCTGGTGGTCTTTGTGTTCCTAAACTATGTACACAGATGAGGCTCTTGGCCTTTGTGTTCTTAAAGATATGTGACTAATGTGTTAATCTTTGTATAAGCGATGTAGGTGTGTGTGTGTGTGTGTGTATATCTGATAGAAAACTAACGTCCCATTTTGCTTTTACTTTGAAGATCATAGATACTTGTATGTTTCATCCTCTTTTACTGACTGATAGTTAGACTGTATAGATTGCTTTATAATTGAGGTATTAATTCTCATTTGGGTATTTTTGCATAAAAAAATATAGCTTTTAGCAGCATGACTTTTTAGTTTTCTACATTTGAATCTAGTCAGTTTTGTCAACATCTCTTAAATAATTCTGTTGAACTGTGAAGTTACGTATATCCTGCTACCTCAGGACTATTAATAGATTGAGGTTATAAATCTTGTATGTTGTTCAACCTTGCAAGGTGAAATACACGTTTGAGGTCTTCTGCCGAATGCGACCGGGAATGAGTCTTATGTCACTCTATGGTTCTCTGCACCAGCTTCGGAGAATGGCCATATATGATGACTTTTGTAGAAAAGAACACGCTGTCTTATTTGCCACTGATATTGCTGCTCGTGGCTTAGGTAAGTCAAAGAAGTATTAAATTTGCTTTGAAAATATTCTTTACCTTGCTCTTCTGGTTACCTTTAACGTTTTCTCTCTCTGTCTTTAAGATTCTGCAAGAGTTTTGGTTTTGATTTTATAATCATAGACTTATGTTTCCAGGCATGACCTTTTTCTCTTTAAAATTTTAAAACATTATATGTTTGATTACATTACAAATGTTTGTTGTTTGTATATGTAGATTGAAGTAGTGTTGTACTTGTGGTAGTTAAAAGGTTTTAACCCTAACATCCTGTAATAAAGATTTTAACCCTAACATCCTATAATAAAGGTTTTAACCCTAACATCCTATAATAAAGGTTTTAACCCTAACATCCTATAATAAAGGTTTTAACCCTAACATCCTATAATAAAGGTTTTAACCCTAACATCCTATAATAAAGGTTTTAATCCTAACATCCTGTAATAAAGGTTTTAATCCTAACATCCTGTAATAAAGGTTTTTACCCTAACATCCTGTAATAAAGGTTTTAACCGTAACATCCTGTAATAAAGGTTTTAACCGTAACATCCTGTAATAAAGGTTTTAACCGTAACATCGTATAATAAAGGTTTTAACCCTAACATCGTATAATAAAGATTTTAACCCTAACATCCTGTAATAAAGGTTTTAACCCTAACATCCTGTAATAAAGGTTTTAACCCTAACATCGTATAATAAAGTTATCTCTAGAATTGAATATTTAAATGAAATGAGTTAGATTTGATAGATTTAGTCTCAGCAGATTAGTGATGATGTTTAATATTGATCATAGTTCAAAGTTAGCTAAAACAATGCATAACTTGAATATTTTGATAATGACAGTTTTAAGAGAGAATTTTAATGTTAAGAAATTATATATAGAACTAATTCCCTGAAATTGTGATATAGATTTTCCTTCTGTTAATTGGGTTGTTCAACTTGACTGTCCTGAAGATAGTAGTACCTACATCCACCGAGCTGGACGGACAGCAAGGTAAAGTTAGTGCATGAACGTACATAGCCCAAAGCAACAATACTCCTTGGTATGGTCTGTACACAGTTCGTGTCCCTTTCACCAACAGACAACAACACATTATAGTCTGTACACAGTTCGTGTCCCTTTCACCAAAAGACAACAACACAACATGTTATAGTCTGTACACAGTTCGTGTCCCTTTCACCAAAAGACAACAACACAACATGTTATATTCTGTACACAGTTCATGTCCCTTTCACCAAAAGACAACAACACATGTTATAGTCTGTACACAGTTTGTGTCCCTTTCACCAAAAGACAACAACACAACATGTTAGTCTGTACACAGTTCGTTTCCCTTTCACCAAAACACAACAACAACAACACAACATGTTATAGTCTGTACACAATTCATGTACCTGTCACCAAAAGACAACAACATGACAATGTTATAGTCTGTGCACATTTCGTGTACCTTTCACTAACAGACAATAACACATGTTATAGTCTGTATACAGTTCATGTCCCTTTCACCAAAAGACAACAACATAACATGTTATAGTCTGTACACAGTTCGTGTCCATTTCACCAACAGACAACAACACATTATAGTCTGTACACAGTTCATGTACTTTTCATCAACAGACAACAGTACAACATGTTAAAGTCTATACACAGTTCGTGTACCTTTCACCAACAGACAACAACACATTATAGTCTGTACACAGTTCTTGTACCTTTCAACAATAGGCAACAACATACATGACCACAATACTTGTACAGTTTGTATCTAGTGTAGCACAAAATAGCAGTTAATATGGGAGGAAGAAGAGCATACAATAACATATTTTTATGTTGTGTAACCAGAGCAGTTTGTTTGTAATAGATGACATACGATAATAGATTTTTATGTTGTGTAACCAGAGCTATTTGTTTTTGTAATAGATGACATACAATAACATATTTTTATGTTCTGTAACCAGAGCTGTTTGTTTCTAATAGATGACATACAATAACATATTTTTATGTTGTGTAACCAGAGCTGTTTGTTTTTGTGATAGATGACATACAATAACAGATTTTTATGTTATGTAACCAGAGCAGTTTGTTTTTGTAATAGATGACATACAATAACAGATTTTTATGTTATGTAACCAGAGCAGTTTGTTTTGTAATAGATGACATACAATAACAGATTTTTATGTTCTGTAACCAGAGCTGTTTGTTTGTAATAGATGACATACAATAATAGATTTTTATGCTGTGTAACCAGAGCAGTTTGTTTGTAATAGATGACATACAATAACAGATTTTTATATTGTGTAACCAGAGCAGTTTGTTTGTAATAGGTGACATACAATAACAGATTTTTATGTTGTGTAACCAGAGCTGTTTGTTTGTAATAGATGACGTACAATAACAGATTTTTGTCTTGTGTAACCAGAGCTGTTTGTTTTTGTAATAGGTGACATACAATAACATATTTTTATGTTGTGCAACCAGAGCTGTTTGTTTGTAATTGATGACATATTTAACTTTTTGTTTACATTGTTCAGCTGTTCATGAAACCTCATATTTCAGTTCATCAAAGTGATCTTTTTTTTGTGGGGGGGGGGGTAAAAATAAGGGTTAGCAACTTTGAATATGTTCATTAAGTAAAACAAAATTCAATTTTTCTGTCATTTTGTAGGAGAAAGAGAAACTGTTTGTGTATATTTTTTTACAATGTTAGAGTGTAGAATTGTGGTGTATTGTTTGTGTAGTTTTTACAATGTTAGAGTGTAGAATTTTAGTGTATTGTTTGTGTAGTTTTTACAATGTTAGAGTGTAGAATTGTAGTGTATTGTTTGTGTAGTTTTACAATGCTAGAGTGTAGAATTGTAGTGTATTGTTTGTGTATTTTTACAATGTTAGTGTAGAATTGTAGTGTATTGTTTGTGTATTTTTACAATGTTAGAGTGTAGAATTTTAGTGTATTGTTTGTGTATATTTTTACAATGTTAGAGTGTAGAATTGTAGTGTATTGTTTGTGTATTTTTTACAATGTTAGTGTGTAGAATTGTAGTGTATTGTTTGTGTATTTTTACAATGTTAGTGTGTAGAATTGTAGTGTATTGTTTGTGTATTTTTACAATGTTAGAGTGTAGAATTTTAGTGTATTGTTTGTGTATATTTTTACAATGTTAGAGTGTAGAATTGTAGTGTATTGTTTGTGTATTTTTTACAATGTTAGTGTGTAGAATTGTAGTCTATTGTTTGTGTAGTTTTTACAATGTTAGTGTAGAATTGTAGTGTATTGTTTGTGTATTTTTTACAATGTTAGAGTGTAAAATTGTAGTGTATTGTTTGTGTATTTTTTACAATGTTAGAGTGTAGAATTATAGTGTATTTTTTGTGTAGTTTTTACATTGCTAGAGTGTAGAATTGTAGAATATTCCAGTTCTTTATTTCTAATACACTTAACCATCAGCTTGAAGTAAACTTGTAGAAAGGGATTATTTGCTGTTACAGTTTTTATATTTAATGATGAAAGCTGCCAATCCCCCCTCCCCCTACTCCAGTGGCTCAGTTGTAACTCTGACGGCTCACTCTGCTTTCTGGATTTTTGTACTCTTGGTAGTCGCTTCGTAGATAGCTCATTGTGTAGCTTTGTACTTAACAACAAACAATCAAATTGTCATTCCTTTTTATTTTTGTTCTTTTCAAATATTAATTAAAATTAATTAATATTTATTGTTTCACAAACAAAGAGAGAGAGAGAGAAACTTTTTTTGATGAAAGATTGTGTCATATATTTCTATATATGTGTCCTTGGATCAGTCCTTCAAAATATTTAGCACCTGACCTAATTGCAAGCTTTTTTTGCTTTATTTAAATTGAAATTCACCATACATTGTGGTAAGTCTGTAAATAGTTACTGAAAGTTTACTGTATTTCAGTGTTTCTCCTATAAATTATGTAAATTGGTAGTGATTCATGTATATGCTTAATCATTCCTTTAAACTTTTAGATTCCAGAAAGACGGGGAGTCGTTGTTAGTTCTTCTGCCTTCTGAAGAAAAACCAATGCTTGAACACCTTGAAGATCACAAAATACCAATTAAAAAAATTCAGTATGTAGTTTATGTTCTATTTTTTCAAGCGCTCTATAAACTTGTGATAAAGCTAGAGATGATATTGCTTTAACTGTTACTGTTTTTGTTTATTTTTATGATAAGTAGGGTAAAAACATAAATTTCCTAAATATCTAAGATAGTGATTTAACAAAAACTACTTTTGAAAAATATATTTGGAAGTACAAATTTGTCTCCATATTTTTATCATACTGTTAAAGAATTAGATACCTATCTATATAAATGTATTAGGTCTAACTGTAACTACTAATTTGTCTCCATAATTTTATTATCCTGTTAAAGAACTAGATACCTATCTATATAAATGTATTAGGCCTAACTGGTAGTAGTAATTTGTCTCCATATTTTTATCATACTATTAAAGAACTAGATACCTATCTATATAAATATATTAGGCCTAACTGGAACTACTAATTTGTCTCCATAATTTTATCATCCTGTTAAAGAACTAGATACCTATCTATATAAATGTATTAGGCCTAACTGGAAGTACTAATTTGTCTCCATATTTTTATCATACTATTAAAGAACTAGATACCTATCTATATAAATGTATTAGGCCTAACTGGAACTACTAATTTGTCTCCATAATTTTATCATACTGTTAAAGAACTAGATACCCATCTATTTAAATGTATTAGGCCTCTAAACCTGTTCCTGAACACAACCTAATAAGTATGTTCAACTCAATTCTTAGTTATATCTAATAAATTAAGTAGAAGTCGGCTTATTGAATGGTTTTTATTTTTATCTCCTATGATTTAATTCAGGACTAAAGATCTAGCTGCAAGAATTGCTTCTGATCCGTAAAGAAGATTTATTGTGGATTCCATGATAATTACACTTGGTTCCTTTTTTTAAGAATGAGGATTTTAGTTTTATAACACTCATTTTGATGTATGAAATATTCAGTAAGTGTTAATAAGCTGCCTTAACATGATTTATATTTTTCAGAGTCAATGTAAAGAAACTTGCATCAGTTCAAAGAAAAATGGAAGCTTTATGTGCAAGAGACAATTCCTTGAAGGAAAGTGCTAAACGAGTAAGTTAACCAAATTACTGCATGTAAGCTAAAAGAGTAAGTTAACCAAATTACTGCATGTAAGCTAAAAGAGTAAGTTAACTAAATTACTGCATGTAAGCTAGTAAGTAAGGTATTTATTAGAAATCTTAGTTAAATTACTGCATGTCAGCTAAAAGAGTAAGTTAACCAAATTACTGCTTGTCAGCTAAAAGAGTAAGTTAACTAAATTACTGCATGTAAGCTAGTAAGTAAGGTATTTATTAGAAATCTTAGTTAAATTACTGCTTGTCAGCTAAAAGAGTAAGTTAGACAGCCAAAGTATAATGTGTAAGTTGAAAATCAACAGAAACTTGGGGAACAGGACACTGAACAAGAAAAATAGGAGACAAGTTTATGCACAAAACATTATTGATATGGAAAGAAAAAATCATGCTCATCATACATATTATCTGCCAGGGCATCATATACTGTGCATCTCATGAGGTTTTAGTGGCTTACACTCAAAATTTTATTAAACAAACAACTTTTTATGTTATACCATAAATATGGAATGAGCATTGTATAAAATCATAGCTAATAATCCATATTTTAATAGTATACAAGTTTTAAGTTCTTAATTTTATAAGGCAATATTTAAAAAGATTCTGAATTCCACCTAGTGTCAGAAAGATGATAAATTTTCTGTAGGCATCCCATCTCTCTTTTATTCACCACCCCTCCAACAAATACAAAATTTAATGTAAATTACTCACTATAAAATCGTTATTGTTCAGAAAAATCATAATTTTTATAACTTTCAATTTTGTTTGGTTACAGAACCATCAACTAGAAAATTAGACCCCTCTTGCCACACCTACCTGTCAAATCCTCTCTTTCAGGATTTGTTAATAGTTCTCTCTTACGTTTAATTCTTTATTATATATAATGAATAGAAAGCCAAAGTTTTCAACTATCAAATGACATATTATATTATGTTGTTTTATGAACAGATAATTGTCAATTTCTCGTTTAGTGCAAGCTTCGTTCCCACGGGAAAGGTAATGACTAGCTTAGATGAATTTGTAATAGCTCTTGTTGCACAGTTAGAAAGCCAGAAAAACTGTGATTGTTAGAGGAAATTGTCTGCTTTTGCATGTTATTATTCTATGTTCTTTGGTGCATTATTTAATTAAATAAATATTATTTAGTGCATTACTACCATTAGTATAAAAAAGTAGGGTTAATTGTCATCAACAGTCAACAACAACAACAACAAAAGAAGAAAATTGGGTAAGTACTTTATTTCTTTTTTTTTCATGTTTATTCTTTATTTATTATGATAAAAGTAATTAAATTGTACAAACTTTGATCTCTTTAGGGTAGTTAAGGTTAGATTAGTTAAAATAAATAACAATATAATAAAAATATTTCATGAGGCACGCATGTGAGCAGCTTGGAGTAGCTCGTGGGTAATGTAATTTGATGGTCTAATGTGAGCTGCATGCTTCCCAAGTGATTTACTACTTTTAAGGGCACAAATAGTAGTAATAAAACAATAAAATTTAATTATAAATAGATGTATACTTAGAATAAACGAATGTAGTTTCATGTTACTATTTGAAGTCATTCTTGAAAGAAGAGGAGGGTAATTTAGATTTTTATTTATTTTTGGTTGTTATGAGGTCAGTCAAATTAACCAACCTTGTATAAAATTAAGGTAGAGAAAATGACAGATTAAAATACAAGGTTTTACTGAAAAAACATTTGAAATGTGTTTAGGAGGTTTTAGAGATTACACAAATGAAATTTGATATTTTTGAGATGAAGAAACGTATTTTTAATCTTAACATGAAAATCACTTTGCATGTGGACTATTAAAAAAAACTCAATATATTTATGGACAAATCTTTTTTAATTTATTAAAAATACTTCACTAAAAAATATAATCTTTTGTATGTGAAAAACTTATAATGTTAATTGAAAGACTGCCAAATTTTGTGAAGATATGCACATTAAAAGCTTGTAGTATCAAACTATAAAGACTTTGAATGAGTACAAAGTATTAATCTAGGTATGGGTGTTGTAGCTTCTTCATTCTCGGATCACCAAGTTATTCTAAAATGGTATTAATCTAGGTATGGGTGTTGTAGCTTCTTCATTCTAGGATCACCAAGTTATTCTAAAATGGTATTAATCTAGTTATGGGTGATGTAGCTTCTTCATTCTAGGAACACCAAGTTATTCTAAAATGGTATTAATTTAGGTATGGGTGCTGTAGCTTCATCATTCTAGGATCACCAAGTTATTCTAAAGTGGTATTAATCTAGTTATGGGTGCTATAGCTTCATCATTCTGGGATCACCAAGTTATTCTAAAATGGTATTAATCTAGGTATGGGTGTTGTAGCTTCATCATTCTAGGATCACCAAGTTATTCTAAAACAGTATTAATCTAGGTATTGGTGATGTAGCTTGATGATTTTGGGATCACCAAGTTATTCTAAAATGGTATTAATCTAGTTATGGGTGATGTAGCTTCATCATTCTGGGATCACCAAGTTATTCTAAAATGGTATTAATCTAGGTATGGGTGATGTAGCTTCATCATTCTGGGATCACTGAGTTATTCTAAAACAGTATTAATCTAGGTATGGGTGATGTAGCTTCATCATTGTGGAATCACCGAGTTATTCTAAAATGGTATTAATTTAGGTGTGGGTGATGTAGCTCATTTTGTTTATGAGTCAAACGTATACTTAGTCAAATTAAAACCTGGTATTTTTTGGATATTCTTCAAGTAGCCTAAATTTAAAGTCAAAAAACATAAAAATTATAATAATATTGATTTATTTTGTAAAATAAATTTTTCAATAGTTAACTTTATGATACAAAGTTTGAAAACCATTAGGGAATGAATAAAAATAGAAAATCTATTCAGATAATATAGTATTATTGTGTTAACACGTTGACTGACGACTACGAGTATACTCAAAGTTCCATGTGTACCAGATTCTGCCACTACGAGTATACTCGTTAAAGTAATCAGAAAATACTAGCATCCCAGATATCGTAACAAAGAATCTGCTGCCAGTTTTGGGAACATAAATCTATGTGATAATCATGATTAAATATGTATTGTATCATTATTTGTGCTATTGAAATTTACTAAGGTGCGCAAACAAGATATCTCTGCAAAGCTCACTTCAATACAACTAGGACTAAAGAATAGGTGGTTACAATCCAAAAATAGATTATTATAACTGAAATAGGCTTATTCTACATGATCCATGACATTGTTTGATCAGGTCTGAATCAATAAGCAATTAATACTGAATAAACGTTTTCAAATTTTATGATTTTATTCTTTCATTGTTTCATGAACTAACAAGTTTTTTAAGTTAGCTGTGTAGCACTGTAACCAAATTTTCGTTAATTTTTACATGAAAAAAGACTCGGTATAATAATATAGTATTTTACGGTAATCAGTGTTGACCATGTAGTCCTAAAGTTGCCTTAATAAGTCAAAGATAAAACATTAATATATTTGGTAAATGATTAGCTCAGATACGTAATAATCCACATTTTCAAAACTTGTATCTCTATTACTAGTAACATGATTGATATGAAGATAAAAACAAACATTTCAAGTCCCGTGATTAAAATTAGTTATAATTATTTATAATCATGTTAAAAAAACATATATAGTATTTCTTTCTTCCAAAATTCTTTAAAAAGACATTATTTATAGTTGTACTGCTTGAATTTTCACTTATTGTAAACATCAACAATATGAAACACATTTTTCTCACAAGAATTCTAACTGGTAAACAATGAAAAATATATTGTGTAACAACTTTGTTATAAGAGCTGCAGGTGTTGTGAACAGTACAAACGTTGATGAAAACAAAGTCTAGACATATTGTTAAAGTGTTTGGAAAAAGCCAATTCACAAATTTTTACCATACAACATTTAATTAAGGACAATATTGTTGTGTTAGCTTATAAATAATCAGTTACTGGCTGAGGCCTTGGATGGATTGCTGTAGACTCTAGATTTGTTGATTTCAGAAAACTTCAATAAAGTTTTTGTAATATCCCAATCAAACAAATCACTGACATCTAATGTTTCTTTTTGATACTATTTGGTATTGTTGGGATATCTGGCTGTTTTTCTTTATTATATTCTGAAAAAAATGGAGGGGAGATCTGGACCCCTCCCCTAGAATCACACCTTTTTATACAACATTGAAGAATCTAGTTATTAATTTCTGGAAAACATGAAGGGAGGGGGGGGATCCAAATCACCAGAAACCATATCATAGATCTCCACCTGCTTGTGCAACATTAAATAATACAGTTACACAATTATAAATTAGGAACATAAAACAATGTAAAAACCAAACAGTAAATTTACATTTTATTTAACACTTAAGTAGCTAGAGTGTTCTTTGTGGGTGCTGCCAGCCAGTTGCCCTCCCTCTAGTCAGTAGCCACAATGTGTTAGTGATGGGTGCTGCCAGCCAGTTGCTCTCCCTCTAGTCAGTAGACACAATGTGTTAGTGATGGGTGCTGCCAGCCAGTTGCCCTCCCTCTAGTCATTAGCCACATTATGTTGGTGGAAGGTGCTGTCAGCCCTCTCTCTAGTCAGTAGCCACAGTGTGTTGGTGATGGATGCTGCCAGCCAGTTTCCCTCCCTATAATCAGTAGCCACAATGTGTTAGTGATGGGTGCTGCCAGCCAGTTGCCCTCCCTCTAGTCATTAGCCACATTATGTTGGTGGAAGGTGCTGTCAGCCCTCTCTCTAGTCAGTAGCCACAGTGTGTTGGTGGTGGGTGCTGCCAGCTAGTTAGTCTCCCTGTAGTCATCAGCCACAGTATATTGGTGGTAGGTGCTGTCAGCCTTCTCTCTCTAATCAGTAGCCACAGTGTGTTTTTGGTGAGTGCCGCCAGCCATTTTCCTCCCTCTAGTCAGTAGCCACAATGTGTTGTTGGTGGGTGCTGCCAGCCAGTTTCCCACCCTCTAGTCAGTAGCCACAGTGTGTTGGTGGTGTGTGCTCCCAGCCACTCTCCTTCCCTCTAGTCAGTAGCCACAGTGTGTTGGTGGTGTGTGCTCCCAGCCACTCTCCTTCCCTGGTCAAAATTAAGGGTGACAGCAGGTAATCTTAATAGTTTTCCATAAATACAAAATAGAAATGTTTTGTAAGTTTTAAATGATATTGGTTTGGTAACTTCCATAAGATTTCTATGTTCCAGTGTTTTGTGGCCTATCTGAAGAGTGTTTTTCTGATGAAAGACAAGAAAGTTTTCAACATCCAATGCTTGGACACGGATGCTTATGCAAGGTAAGTGGTGTAGTCATAAATCAGTGAAACCAATACTTTATACCCAGTGAACTACGAGCACATAATGTCAAAATTAATATGCATGACAACTAAAATCTAACAATAATTAGAATTTATTAATTCATTAGTGGGGTACTCTCACTATAAACATTTTCAGAAGGAATTCATGTGTTGTTTTATGAGGATTACACAGCTTAAGAGATTCAAACTTATTGAAATGTGATAGGTGTTCTGGAAAGAGGAAAGTTAAAAAGTTATGTAGGTTTAATGTGACTATTGGAGGAAGTAACCATTATGTAGGTTTTCTATATCTAGTGGAGGAAGTAACCATTATATAGCTTTCATATGATTAGTGTAGGAAGTAACCATTATGTAGGTTTTAGGTTTTCTTTGACTAGTGGAGGAAGCAACCATTATGTAGGTTTTCTGTGGTTACTGTAGGAAGTAGCCATTATGTAGGTTTAATGTGTCTAGTGTAGGAAGTATCCATTATGTAGGTTTTCTGTGACTAGTGTAGGAAGTATCCATTATGTAGGTTTAATGTGATTACTGTAGGAAGTAAGCATTATCATATACAGAACTTAAATAGACTGTAAGTGTTATAAATAAATATATAGATATGTTATATAGAACTGACATAGACTGTTAGTGTTATAAATAAATATATAGATATGTTATATAGAACTGACACAGATTGTTAATGTTATAAATAAATATATAGATATGGTATAAAGAACTGACACAGACTGTTAGTGTTATAAATAAATATATAGATATGGTATAGAACTGAAATAGATTGTTAGTGTTGTGAATAAATATATAGATATGGTATATAGAACTGACACAGACTCTTAGTGTTATAAATAAATATATAGATATGGTATAGAACTGAAATAGATTGTTAGTGTTGTGAATAAAT